TTTTCGTCGCCTTTTATACCCAATAACTCTATGCATAAAAAATCTGCCTCTCGGAAGGGGAAGATTTTTTATACATGTAAGAGGGATAACAAGAGACAAACTTGCTAGTCAGCTTACAAATAACTAAAACTTAATATTAAAATATAAAATAAACTTAATTAAACTTAAAAATCTAATTTTACATTCATTTTACCCTTGCGGATGGGTGAACTACGAGATTACGACGAATTCGTCGTTACTTCGTCGTCACTTCGTATTTCGTTATAATATTTCACAAATTAGATGAAAACAGTTAAAAAAAACTATTGAAATGAATAAAGGAATATCTTAGGATGAAATTAATCAATTTTGTAGGATAAATTAACGCTAAATTATTGAGAAATTAATGTTTAAAGTGGGAAATGTCAGTTTTAGTGTAGGATGTATGTGTGTGTAAGATCGATATTAGAATAAACTGTTGATATGTCGCCGCGCATTTTGCGCGACAGATGGCGGAAGTGACATTTGTCCATGGCTTTAAATTACATGGTTTATTACAGAAAAATAAAAAAAGGAAACATAATAAAAAAGATTATTAAGATTGAAAATTGGTATACAATAATAGAAATAAAAATTGCAGAATGTTTTTTATGAAGTTCCAATATTTCAATCCAATATTTCAATAAAAAACAATACTTGCATGCAAAAACATTATCACAAGGAAAAAATTTGATAATGAAAAAAAAACAGGCAATATAACGCTCTTGTAACGACATAATATTTATAAACTTTTCATTAATAGACAAGTAATAATTATTTCTCTTTCAATAGAATTATATTTACTTAGTATATACTTTATACTTTATTTACGGTCGGTAAGTTCTAATTTCTAAATATTACCACTTGAATATTACGATGTTCAGCGCCAAGTGGCGTAAAAACACACTACGTTGTATGTATAGCACGTGTCGCGTGCACGCCGCTACAACCGACCACATTCATCAGACCGGTCCCAATGTACTTAATTAAAATTGTCAGTAGTCTCGTTGTTATTAGTGTCTCATTCGCACTAAAAATGCACCGTATAGGAAAAATAGTGTTGCGTGTGAGAACATTTTTCACGGCGCTATCGAAGACGGGTTAGATTATGATAAAACATTTTTATACATAAATTATATTATTAATGAAAAAAGTAAATAATATTGTTAAAATTAAAAGTTTTTATGTAAAAAGAAATTGTGAAATATTTTTTTAGCAAATCAATGTTATCAGGGTGGCCACCGGACCTCGAAACCTTGAAATGGACGTGAATTTTGTCAAACATTGAAAAAACCGTGAATTCGACGTGAATTTTTTTATAAACCTTGAATTTTAGTACTATATATTATTAAAATTGAAAAAAAAATTTTTGACCATTTTTAAAATTTTATTTTTTGAAAAAATTAAAATTTTCCGGGCTTTCCACAGGTCAGGGAAATCATGAAATTCAGGAAAATGTCAGGGAAAGTAAAATTGGTCAAGGAAGTTAAGAAAAAGTCAGGGATTTTTATTTAAGTAACTGGAAAAAATTGAATTTTGGAGAAGTTACAAATGATTGCAGAAATTCAATTAATTTTCAGCAGTAATAAAATTCTTCGCAGAAATTCAATTCTTTTCAAAAATTTCAAAAATTCTCATAGAAATTCAATTATCTTTAAAAATAATAAAATTCTTCTCCAAATTTCAATTATTTTCAAAAAATTTTTCTCAATTCAATGATTTTCAATATCTACAGTTTTAATAAAATTTTTCAAAAGAATTCTATTATTAAAAAAAAAAATTTTTGATAAAATTCTAAGCAAACTTTGTAATAATTCAATTATTTTCATAAATTTTTTACAAAAATTCAGTTATTTTCATGAATAATAAAATTCATCGTAGAATTTCAATTATTTTTAATTCAATTTTAATTGAATTCCTCGAAAAATTTAATTATTCTTGAAAATTTTATTAAAATTTCTCGAAAAAATTCAAATTTGTTGATAAAATTCTTTATGATAATTTAGTTTCAAAAAACATTCATTTATTCAATAAAGTATTTATTTTTGTATTTAAATAATTGAATTCTTGTAGAATTTTTCAATAAAAATTGATTTGAAAATGAATATTAGTTAAAATTTTAGATAATAATTGAATATTAAAAGCATTATAGCATGAATTTTTAAAAATACGTAATTGATAAAATATATAATTGAATTCTTTCGAAGAATTTTAACAAAATTTTTGAAAATAGAGATATTTTTCGAAGAATTTACTTAAAATTGTATTAAAAATATTTGTTGAGTAATACGGTCAAACAAAAACAAAAATTACAAATGTATTAAAAATAATTGAAATCCTGTGATAAATTTTATTAATTTATGAAAGTAATTGAATTCTTGCAATGAATTTTTTCAAATTTTTTTTTAAATAATTAAAATAATGTAAAGAATCTTTGTATTTATGAAAATAATTGAATTCCTGCATCGAATTTTATTACATTTTTTTAAATAATTGAATTCTTTTGAGAACTTTTATTAAAAAAGTAGATTGTGAAAATATTTGAATTTCAACGAAGAATTTAATTATATTCGTGAAATGTAATTAAATTCTTACAAAAAAATTAAGAGAATAATTCCATTTTTCTAGGAATTTACTTTACATTGTATTATAAATAATTGAAATCCTCAGAAGAATTTTATAATTTATGAAAATAATGGAATTTATGCAACGAATTTTATTACATTTTATTTAAATAATTATATTCTTTCGAAAACTTGTATTAAGAATGTAAATTTTGAAAATTTTTTAATTTCAGCGAAGAATTTCATTATTTGTGAAATGTACCTAATTTAATTCTTGCAAAAAATTTTTGAAGATAATTTTATTTTTCGAGAAATTTTTTTAAAATTCAATTAAAAATAATTGAAATTATGTAAAGAATTTTATTATTTATGAAAATAATTGAATTCTTGCAACGAATTTTATTAGGATTTTTGTAAATAATTTAATTTTTTTTTTGAAAAATTTTATGGTAATTTAAATTATTACAAAATATGAAGAAGACGATCACTTCGAGTCTTCGACTTGTAATAATTTTCTTATAAGTTGTTAAATTTAAAAAAAGTTTGAATTTGAATGTTTCGAAGAATTTTAATTCCTATGGAAAAATAATAATTAAATACATACTTATTTAAAAATTTAGTTATTGATGTTTGCGAATAATTTTATAATTTAAGAAATTCGTAAGTAAATGTAATAGAATGTTTTAAATAATTTTTAGAGTGAATCAGAATATTCTTTATGGTCAGGAAAAAAGTGAAAATTTTGTCTGGAAATCAGGGAAAAATAAAATTAAATATTTGTGTCAACCCAGAATTTTTTAAAATCTATTCGATTGATTGTTCAGAATCGTAAGAAAAGCCTATAAAAAATTCGGAAATAGAAAATAATAAAAAATATGGAAATAGTTAAATTTTTTAAGTATTACTGTAGTAAAATTTGAACCAACAAAAAAACCTTGAAAATTTCCCAGAAACCTTGAGAAAACCGGGAAATAGACGTGAATTTTATTCACCAGTTTTGGTGGCCACCCTGGTTATTTATTTTAATGTGTTATTCGAAAATTTTACAATTATTTTCTTAAATATAAACCCAGTGTTCCGAAAAAATAATGTTCCGGAACATTCGGATGTTCTTTGAACGTAAATTGTCAGACATTAAACGTTTTACAGACGTTTAAAGAACGTTTTTTGTCTTTGTGCCCACTGGGAATAGTTTTTATTGGATTTTATTATTATTTTTAAATATTTTCTATTACATTTAATTACTTTTTTATTTTTAAAATATTATAAACTTAACTTTTTAAATTAAATTAAAATTTTAATTAAAAATATTATATAAATAAAAAATTAAAATCCAAAAAATTAGAATAATACTTTAATGAAATCATATTCACAAGGAAATTATTGGTGAATGGAAAAAAACAGACAATACTACACTCCTGTAATGACAGGATATACATAAACTTTTTTATATTTCAAAAAACAGTAATAATTTACTTGCTTGAACAGGATTATATTTCTCATAATTAATATTCAGTTTAAAAAATTTTTTTCAAGGTATTTAGATTTAATATGATTATTATTTTACTTTATTTATAATCATATTATTTTTGTGAATAAATTGTAAACTTTTTTAAAATTAACGTATAAGATAATGCTTCAAATTGTTGTATAAATGATTTAATTCTTTTGCATGTATGTATTTTCCAAACTGTTAAATAGTAATTAATAATTTTTAATTAAACAATATTTGGAAATTTTAATTTTAAAAAAATTATAATTTGTGTAGGTATAAATATACAAATTGTTATAATTGATTATATTTTGTTAAATTACATTTTCAATAATACATTTTAATTTGCTTATTAGAAAAAATATTTACTAAACAAATACTAAATTAATCTTAATGAGAAATATGCAATGTTTTAAATACAATAATAAAATAATAATTTTTAATTATAATTGTTAAAAATTTAATTAGTTTTTAAGATAATTTTTATTATTTATTATTTTTTTTCCTAATGATAATTTGCTCTTCTTCAAACCCACTAATAGTTAAAATAAAAAGTAATATTTCTTTTCTTCAAAATAATAAATAACTTTAAAGATCTTCTTTTAACCTTCACCTTAAAAGCTTGAAAAAAACTAAACAGAATTTCCATCAGAATTTTTATCAACAATTGAATTTTAGTTTTTAAGTTATTAAATTTTCGGAAAATTATTGCAACAAATAATTCATTTCGAGAAGTAATTTTGTTAAAATTTTAAGAAATAATGCATTATTACATTATATTAAATTTTTTGGAAGTAATTAAATTATACATTTTTTTAAGTTTAAATCTTTATAAATTTTAATTACTAAAATTCAATTTCGAGTGTATAACTTTTGTTAATTTATTTAAAATTTAATTCTTTGTGAAAAAGTACCAAACAATAAGTATTCAAATATTTTTTAATGACATTGTTGAACTTTTGAATCATTTAATTTAGAAAATCTAAAAAAATTAGATTTTTGGAATCTTTTAATTAAGATTCTTTGAAAATAGTTGAATTTTCATTAGGCAGAATTAATTTCCTTCAAACCCGTTGGATGGGATGTCCATAGGATTCAAAATTGCGGTCACATGTAGAAGAAGCTGTACCTGAAAGAGAAAATTTTAATTAATAATTATTTATAGTTATGTATCTTAAGCGGGTATTGGACGATAAAGCATTTAGCATAAATTTATCAGATTTTGCAAAACTGATATGGAGTACCGGATGTAGCTTATTATATGAAACTGAGTTTTGTGAAATGTAAGGAATATTTTAGGATAAACTTTAAAAATATTCAGTATATACTTCAAATTTTCTGTACTTTATCCGAAGAATTGAATTTCTAAAAAAAGTTTACTATTTATAAAAAATGATTAAAATGATTGAATTTAAAAAAAATTTTGAAAATAATTGAAATTTTGAAGAAAATCTTTCAAAATGTTGTAACATATTAGAATTTCTGTGAAGAATTTAATTACTTTTTAAAATAATTGAAAGTCTGCAATCATTTGTAACTTCTCAAAAATTCTCCATATTATATAGTACAGTTTTGATTTCTTCGTACTTTATTAAACAAATTACGGACTTCTTTTTTAAAAAAATGACTTTTACGGACTTTAGGCAAATTTACTGTCCTTTATAGGATTTATCGACCTAATTCGAGCATTATGCTTAAAATTCCTGATGTCAGAAAAAAGCATGTTTCCGTAAATTTCCCGCATCAAATAATTTCCTGTTCAATCTTCAATTCCTGCTTTTCACTCATTTCCTGGACGCTGGATACTAGGCCTACTGGATACCCTGCCTTCATGTATAATATTTTTGTAATTTTAAGAATAAGAAGACATAATTCAAAATTGATACCAACGAGAATTACAAAAAATCAAATTACAGGGTTACCACGCAACCTGGAAACCTAGAAAAGTCAGTGAATTTTGATCGGAATCTTTCGAAAATTTTTCTTTTCTAAAACTATTGTGCTTATTCTTGAAATCTAATTTTTCTTAAATATTTCAAAAGTAATTCAATTTTAAAAGAGTTTACAATTTTCATAAATAACTGAACTTTAAAAGGTTTTAATTTGAAATTTTGTAAAATTTTAATTTTGAATGAATTAATTAATTAAATAATTAAAATTTTACATGAATTCTATTATTTAGAAATTTTTTATAAATTTCTGCGAAATAAATCAATTATTTTCATATATAATCAAATTTTTACAGGGATTCAATTTTTTCGTAAATATAAAATTCATTTTAGGAATTCAATTACTTTAATAAATAATAAAACTCATTGAAGAATTTCAATTATTTTTAATATAATTTTAATAGGTAGAATTTCTCAAAAAATGTCATTATTCTTAAAAAAATTTCATAAAATTCAGCAAAGAAATTCAATTATTTTATAAAGCCTTCCTATTATTTATTTATTAGAATTTAAGTATTATTGTGAATACATTTATAATTAAATTTCTTAAAAGAATTAATTTATTTTCAAAAATTTTAATGAAATTCTTTTTAACAATTCAATTTTTTTTCAAAATAATTTTAATAAAATTCTTGGTAAAAATTTAATTAATTTCAATAATTTATCAGAATTCAATTATTTTTAATAGCTACTATATCAATAAAATTTCACAAAAAAAATTCAATTAGAAATATATTATTGAATTTCGTCTCAAGAATTCAATTATTTTAAAAAGTAATCAAATTCTTCGCAGAAATTCAACTATGGTCAAAAGATTAAAGAAAATTCTCGTCAAAATTTCAATTATCTTTATGAATAATAAAATTTTTCAAAATTCAATTATTTTCAAAATTTTTAATAAAATTCTTGGCAAAATTTCAATTATTTTTAAAAACTTTTCTCAATTCAATCAAATTTTTTACAGAGATTTAATTATTTTTAATACAATTTTAATTCTTACTTCTCGATAAATGAAATTATTCTTAAAAAATTTATTTAAAAAATTATAGTAAAAATTTAAATTTTCTTTATATTTTTCTCCAAAATTCAATTATTTTGAAAATTTTTAATAAAATTCTTGGCAAAATTTCAATTGTTTTCAAAAACTATTGTCAATTCAATCAAATTTCTTACAGAAATTCAATTATATTTAATACAATTTTAATCTAATTTCTCGAAAATTAAAATTATTCGTCAAAATATTTTTAATTATCTATTTAAAAATTTGTTGTTAAAATTCTTTTATGAGAGTTTAATTATAAAAAAAATTCAATTCTTCAATTAATTTTTTTATTTTTGTATTTAAATAATTGAATTCTCGTAAAATTTTCTAATAAAAATTGATTTAAATATAAATTTCGGTTAAAATTTTAGATAATAATTGAAAATATTATAAAACATAAAGATATCGATTGCTCCGAGCTCGAATTCGTCAAAAGAATTTTAATTACCAATTTAAAAATTTGTTGATAAAATTCTTTAAATCAGAATTCAATTTTAAAAAACATTCAATAAATTATTTATTTTTGTATTTAAATAATTGGATTCTCGTAGAATTTTCTAATAAAAATTGATTTAAATATGAATTTTCAGTTAAAATTTAAGATAATAATTGAACTCTCTATATTTAAATTGGTAATAAAGTTTTCGAATTTGAATGAGTGACTGAATTTTTTTCTCTTGAATTAGCAGAGTTTAGGGGAGACTCTGGAGTGAAAAGTTAAACTGCCAAAACCGTTAAAATTCATTATCTTTCGAACGAAAATAGTTAGAGCATTGCAATTTTAATTATAGAAGGGTCTTATCACCCTAAATAAATGTTCAGAGTTGTGTGCAATTCTGTTTATTTTTGTGGTGTCGATATTGAAAGTTTTTTTTCAACCTACTTTTGAAAATTTTTTCGAAAAAGAAAATATCAACTTTTAAGTATATTTTTTGAATTTATTCTTATCGCGATTTTTTACTTCATTATTTGGGTCCCCTGAAGAGATACCTGAAGGTATTTGCCAAATATCTTTAGTCAGATTTTTTATATTTGTTGTTAAAGCCAAAAACGCACCCTGGGGCGAAAAGTTAAATGTATTTTTACATGTTGTTAAATTTTTTTTCGTTTTTTTGGGTTTATTTGTTTAAACATTATTTATTTGGCATTGGGCAAGTACTCTGTCAAAAAATAAGCCGGTTAACGTGAAATAAACCAAAAAATTTTTTTTTTTTGAAATTTCAATTTTATAACTTTACAACTATTCTAAAGCTTTTGTCAAATAAACAAAGATCTTTTATTTACTAAATTACTTGTTTACGTATACTTTAACTTATCTACTACTTAACACCTATCAGAAAATAGTTTTAGTAGGCTAAAAATAGAATTTAACTTTTCGCCCCAGGGTGGGGCGAAAAGTTAAAAAAAAACAAAATTTTCAAAAAAGGACAAAACATATATTTTTTGCAAAAATATCAGGAACTTTTTTATTGAAAGTTGTAGAGGACAAGTTGCCCTACAATATTGATGTACAAATATTTGCATCTAAGCGGATTATATTCCAAAAAAAAAATCATTTATGCAAAATTTGACTTTTCGCCCCAGTCTCCCCTACTATTTAAAATAAATTTATTTAAAAAAGTTAAAATGAGAATTTAGCATATTTTAATATTAAATAGTAGTTTCTATTAATTTAATAGTAAAATTTACTAATTCAAAAGCAAAAAGTCAGGCAATTATTCCAATTAGTAAATATTTCTACTAATTACAATTTAGAGAGAAAGTATTATAGCGTGAATTTTTAGAAATAATTGAATTTTGAAAAGGTTTCAAATTATAATATTTAAATGTTTGAATTTTTTATACTTTTAACTAAAAATTGTGTAGATTTAATTTCTTTAAAAAGTTTAATTTAATTTTTTAAAATTTATTTAAAGTTTTTATTTTCTAATTTATATTTGATGGAAAAATTTCCGAATAATCGATGAAATATCGTTATATTGAATTGTAAACATAAGGATTTAAATATTGTCAAAGAGAGTTTTCAAAATTTAATAAAAATAATTAATTTAAAGAAGAATTTTTGTTAAAAATTTTAGAAAATAATTGAATTGAAATGAAAATAATTTTTATAAATTTGCAGCAACTGTATTTGTTATATTTGTTTTTCCAAAATTTCTTTTAATTTTTTTTTAGAGAAATTCTAGTTTGAAATATAAAACTTTTAATATTTCAAAACCCTATCTTCACTAATATAGTTAGAACTAGTCGCTATAAATATATTGGAGTAATTTGTATTCTTTTTGGTATTGCTAACTATCAGGGCCGATTACACTGTATATTACACGGAGAAAAATTATTTTTAATGATTACAATAGTCTACATTACAGCGCGGATATGTGACCACTTTTTGGAATGATTACGAAGACTATGTAATGTGTTAAGAATTTAGTAGGAACGATTACTATAGCTGTTGTAAGGGATACCTTCATGTTTGTACTCCTTACAACAGCTATAGTAATCATAACAAAAAGTGGTCACATATCCGAGCAGTAATATAGACTATTGTAATCAGTACGAATAAATTTTTCTCCGTGTACACAATTTTCTGCAAATTATCTTTTCTATTGTAGACGCAGCCTAAAAGTTGAACTTTTAGAAAATTTTTTATTTAAATAAATGTACATTTGAGGAGCAAGCGACCAAAAGTTGATAAGTCCATTTTTTTAAAAAAATTTATTTTGCATTTTCCGAGAATGATAATTAATTAATGATATTAATGATACTTAATTAATTAAATTTTCAAATAATCACTGTTACATTAAGAACAAAATTATTAATAAAGAATTATACTAATTTAAAATTATTTGTACTTAACCAACAAGATTTAAAATTTTAGTTTTTTTAACTAAAGAAATGCCCAAAAGTAATTTGCCTGTTTCAGAAATCTGTATTATTCTGTATTAAAAGTGTGTCAAACGAAAAAAATTCAACAAAAAAAAATATCTTATATTTTAAAAGGTTGATTAACAACAAAATACAGAATCATCTTATAATTTTTGAAATTTAATATTTTTTAGTACTTCTGATTCAATTCCCTGAATTTTCCTTATATCCTACTTTTTTACCATTGTCAACCGTTATATTGAAAGTGGTTTTCGATAATATAAGTATTAAGGAAAAAGATAAAAATTTGTGAATTACCTTTGACAATAAACTGCTATGAAGAAATTTATGAACTTTTCATTCTTTCCAATTTAATCTCCAGATATCAATGTAACGCATAACGTCCGACTATTGCAGAAGTTCTGAAGGTTTTTTTAATTTAAATTTACCATTTGTTTTTAAAAAGGTAGTATTGAAAGTTTCTGCGTATATCTGGAAATAACAAATGTCAATATTAAGTTATTATTATTATATAAACTCTTTTTCATTACTGCAAATTGATTGTTAATGCAAATTGTATAGTATAATTTCTTTATTTAAAATTATTAAACATGAGTCTTCAATAGGTTTTGGTTACTTATTTGTCAGCTACTTATCTCAAAGTAAATTAAGGGTGACATAATGTTACTGAAAATATACAATTTTTTGTGGTAACAAAGAAGAGGTTTAATGTTATTAAATAACTAAATTGTAATTAATAACACAATATAGCTTATTTAAAAAAAAATTGTTGGAACATAGAAAATGAAAAAGTAAAAGGAAACCAACATACATTTTCTCCTTTTTGCTTGTACATCTTGACTGTACGAAGGCGAAGCTTTGAATAACTTCGCAAATAACATAGTTTGTGCTCGGTTGTCCATTGCAAAGTCGATGGGCATGAATTTCCTCCAGAATTAATGCAACGATTTGATTTTTTAGCCAAATATCGTGACTCAATTAATTATTTTCCATTTGCTCTTTATAAGTAGTGTCGATTCACAACGACGTGCGGTAAATAATTTGACTTTGTCAGTCACTGTTTTTTTATGTGTTGCCGATTGAAATATAAGTACAATTGATAGAGGTAATTCATTTCTTGGGAGTATTTCATCCATACGTGATGAACGTCTGGAACCTAAAAATTTATTTTTTCATATAAAAATATATAAAATTGCGTGAAAAAAAGAGGACGATTACAAAAAATTGATGTTTTTATTTTCTGACATTTGCTATATTTTCGTTTTTAATTTAAACTTGTTTCCTGACCCTAATTCTAATTTAATTTAAAAACTATTGTACATATACAAAAAAGAAGTCTTTAAAACTTTTGTTACTTCAATATGATTCTGTTATAAAAACAAATGCAATATGAAGTGGACTTGCAGATTTATGCAAGATAATTCTTGATTATTCTTCATTTTAAGATAATACTATTTCAAAATGTATAGTATAAGACAATATTAAGTAACTAGCGTTCAGAATAATTTCTTCACGAACTGTATATTATATATAAACAATTTCAACTCATAATTAACTTTAACATCTTATCAACATTATAAATAAACATATACTTATATAATTATTCTTTTTGAGCTCTAAATATCTAATTTAAATCTTTTTGAAAATGTTCATATTTTAATTGATTATTCAACAAATTTTCTACAAAGAATAATTTATTTTTCATTTATAAAATTAGAAGTAGATTTGTAATTAAATATATATAGTTATTTGCAGTAAAGGCTCCAACTAGAGAAACTAGTGGGTTTCAAGTCGCTTTTGTCACCCTCGTATTGATAGGGTCCCGACTAGAAGTTCTAGTTCATTTCTACTGGTTCTAAAAATTATTATTTTTCAACTTAACCTATTTATAAGTAATTGAATTCTTAAATCATATTAACATTATTACGGAATGTTGCACACGAAAAAACTGAAACTAGAATTTTAAGAATCCGATGACCATGGGGGATTCAACCTTGCACCTTGGGAAGTCGAAGAATAAGTTGTCTTATTCTTTTAATTTACTTATTAAATAAAAGATTTTTATTTAATAAAATTGTTTTACTGTAATTTTTTCTAAGAATATTATACAATATTCTAATTTTTGTTTAAAATATGTTAAAAAATTAAATATGCACAATTTTTAAATAAATAATGTTGGTAACTTTTTCTATTAATTAATCTGAATTGTTTATTTACAAAGACAATTTATGTATAATACTTGTACACTAGTTTCTCTAGTTGGAAATCAATAAGATCCTAATTATTTTTTCCTAGTATAGATTCTCCTAACTAAAATTTATGAGGGGACCGACTAGTTTTTCTAGACTAGAGATTCTAGTCAGAATCTAGCCAGGGCCCTAGTAGAGACAGGGACAAATGAGGAAATTTCTACACGGGATATTGCATTTTTTTCGAATAAAATAATATTGGAATAACGTTTGAAAAATTATTTCATTGAAGGAAGACATCGATATATATGACCTGGTCTATGAAAGGGGACCTTAAGTGCGAAAACAAGTTTTAGAGAAAACATCAGTTAAAGTTTAAACTTAGGAAAACCCTTGTGATTTTTTTAAATATTAATATTTTTAATCAAGTTTGACTTATTTTCTTCAGTATGTACTATAGTATTAAAACAAAAAACGTACAACAAAAACATCATATACTAAATTTAAATAATCCAAAAAACATTTACATCTATTATATTAAATTTTAAGATTCGTAAAAATGAGATATTTCAATAAATATTTGCTTACCTGCATTTTTTATAATACTGCATGATGTCAATTAATTCTTCAGGGGCTCAAGTGTGTGTGTGTCTGTTGATGTTTGTAAATATATAAGCGTAGCTGATAATTTGTATGTGTGTATGTATGTGTGTGTGTATTTGCAAATTTTCTTTAATTGATGTTTAATCAGTTTCCCACACGTTGCTCAAAGGAACAACGACGAGATCATTGTTGGTGCTGGGAAGAAGAAATCCTGGACTAATAATATTGCTGTATGTGACGAATTCTTTTTCTTCCATTACACTGGCATACTGCATGTGAGGAGTTCCGTATGCATCTCCATTGCTTCGAATTCGTTTTCCCACTATTCCGGCAACTGTTTCACCATAGTGAAAATAGGAGAAAATTGTTGAAATTTCGTAGAATGTTGTTCTATCACAATGGGGTGACTGTTTACAATATGCTATGGAATTGCAAAATTTTCTCCTTAAATTGTCCTTCCTCCGGTATTCCGTACCATGTATGGTGGCTTTATTAGTCCTGGTAATAGGTGCTGCCGGATTTATTCTGAACCCCGCTTGTCTTACAAGACGCACTTCTTCGTTGGTTGGAGCACAAAGTATGGTTCTTCCCTTTGCTAAATAATAATTACCTTCTGCTGTTCCTTCTATATGATGATGTTTTATTTTAAGAAGGTGATTAACTTCGTTCCTTATTCCTTCATCGATTTCCATAAGCCTTGGTGCAACGGATATGAATTTCTTCATGAAGAATCTAGTTGTGATTTGATCGGCTCTGTGATGTGGGCTCTTAACAAAATCGACAATGTTCTTATTTAAGGATTCAAATGGTAAAGCCGAGAATACCCACAGAGGACCCCAATTCTCCACAGATTGCACCAAATGATTTAATATGTGCACGTTGAAGAGCATGTGCCTCAAGCCATATAGCCTTTGATAATCTTTGACAAATTGAGCAATTAAATCTTTGGCGGTGTTAAATTTGTCATGAGAAATCGATGAAGAATTTAAAATATTTATTGCAACACAGAGAGACGTTAAGTGATCAAAATATTCCTGAGGCAATATGTTGTGTAAACATGGAAGTGCATAATACTGCAGCCAATTACGCCACTCTGATATTTTCCACATTCTGTAGGTATTTATGCTGCGTGGAGATCTGGAGATCCTTGAAGGTGGTTTTATTGTTAATATCCTTTCATCAATTATTGCCTTCTGATCAGGAGTTCCGATGTACCAAGGATCGTCTACATCGGATACAAAACGTTCAACCAAACGTTTGGCAACTCCCAAAAAAGGATTGTGTGCGGGATCAACAACGACACCATCTACCAGATCAAAGTGTGGCAGTCTTGCTAAAGCTGTGAACCCTTTTATTCCATTTACTGGCGTGCCTCTGGCAATTGCTTGCAATGCGTCATGCCTGAAGGTGTCATCCCGTCGCATTTCATATTCCTCTGCAGCATAAACTCGTCTATTGTCAACAGTCTCTCCTGGAGCAAGACAAGCAGGGCATCCATTTTCTCCATTATACCTTTTCGCCCTGAGAACATCGGATTTAGCCGGAGAATCAGCGGTAAGAGTGGTGATTATAAATTTACTAGTCACTTCTTCTCCGCCATCTGGTCTCCAACGTATTCCGTTTACGTATAAATCTCTTAGCTCATTTACTGTTGGCCGCAGTATTGTATTCATGGTTGCTGGATGCTCATCCGAGACCCACAAACCCGCCAACAATAAATTTTTTTTTCTGGAAAATGGAGACAGTTCGTTTAGTTGAAGTACTACAGGGTACGTAGAAGCACGGGAGGATTTTGTCAATTTAAGTCCATCGGTCCACAAAGTAAACGAGAAATTGTTTGGATTCTCTAAAAATCCACCAGGTTCACTCAGTAGCTTATATTGTTCTCCATCGTAAATATCTTCAACGGCTTCCTCATCTAACTTTATTCTGTTATACTTATACCGCAAAGCTTCTGCCATGTTTGGAAGTTGCAGTAAATCAGTTATTTGAGGACGCAGAAGTATTTGCACGTAAACAGCAATGAAGGTCTCGTTTTCGTCTGGGCCACATCTTCCGCAACGGCACCTCACTCTCACCATTCCTTCACCTACTTCATCTTTGCACTGGGAGCAAAAGAAACGGTAATTAGTGTTTTCGCCCGTTCGGCCAAGTACTCTCCATAATGCATCCTTGGTTGTGGGTATATTAATATGTCTGAACATTAGTTTATACCCTTTAAGGATACTGATCAGTTGTTCATAAGTAGACTTGTGCCTTATGAACTGTGCCAACGATAACATTAAGATGTCAACAGCTGACACATTTTGGTTATATTGCAATGGCACGCGCATACCAACAATATTCCATCCTGTGAAATATGCAACTTGGGGATTCACTATCATTGCTTCTTGATTATTATCAATTTCCATTTCGACATTTTCATTGTCATTGATGTGACCGTCTTCATCATTGTCCGCTGGAATTTCTTCAGGATCTTCCTCTGAAATATCATCATCACCCACTACTTCTTCATCATCATCATCATCATCATCATCTTCCTCATCAGTGGCTGAATCTTCAACATCATTATCAGAGTAGTCTGAATCACCCTCAACGTTGTCAGCACGTTCCAAATCTGCCATTGCTTCGTAGCTGAAATCATAATGGAAAATATAAAATATTATTTTAGATTATACAAAGCTAGAAATCGACAACTTTTGAAATATTAAATTATAGTGTGATAGTTTCAGTCTATTTCGATAGATTCCTTGCAAATTCTTCTTCGTCACTTTGTGTTCAAATATTTATGTTTAAACTTCAGTTAAAACTATCAAACCTGGATTATTTGAAAGTTTATTAAATTTGGCGTTATAGAAACGAAAATATTATTAATTCAATTATTTAGAAAACATTAGAATCGATTGTAATGAAATTAAGAAGGACAAAAGAAAAAACAAGAGACAAAAGAAAAAAAATTTATTGTTCTGTTACTAATGTTTACATAAAATTTATTCATCAAATAAATAACTTTAACCTTAATTTGAGACTTAATTACATTTAACAAGATATAGAGAGAATGATCTACGCGAGGGAGGAATGTGGCAAAAAATATACCTCGGTCAAAAATAGAGAAAAAAAATGAATGGCCTTATATGATTCACTTTTGTTAAATCGCTATGCCAAAATGTACCTTTATAACGCTAAATTTACTTCCGCCATACTTTTTAAAGCAGTTGGGAAATGTTATACTTTAGTCATGCTTCTTAACATAAAAAGTTGAACTATTTTAAATTTTAGGTTATGATGACATTTATTTTCTATCCGAATTTTCTATTTATTATTTTTTACATTAAATTTTAAATGCCAGTCATTACTTTAGTATTTTAATGTCTTCAGGGTTTGTTTAATTTGGTAGAAAATTTTTGTGGGTGAATTTAATTTGAGCCAAAAAGCAAGTAGCCATCTGTTCGAATTGTCCAGTAGACGATTGGTAATTTAGTCAAATAGACAAAACGTCGAATTTTAAAAACATCGAATTGTCAGTTCGTCGAATGTTCAAAACGTCGAATGCTAAAAACATCGAATCGTCAAAAGTTCGAAAAAATTTGTTAGATCTAAGTAAACATTAACATTATGTCAATGTTCATTCGAGAAAATACTTTTCTTAAATTTTGTATTCGATAAAAATAAGTTAGTAAAGTTACAGATTCTACGTCTGTGAATTCGACATAATAGTCATTATGCTCTTTTTATTCTGATACAAATGTATGCAGCCCACTTAAAATTTTGGAATTTAACTGATTCGTTTTACGGAAATTCTATTTACTCTCTACATCCGAATAAGTGAAACGTCTTTTACTTAAAAAAGAAATGCATATGGGACATTCCACGTCAACACGGACAGAGCTCTAAACAAAAATTGCTTTGATGGATTTAAACGTTCTAGGGCTTAAAAGATTTCTACGTTCATGTACTTTAAGATGCCGATGGGCGTTTTTTGCAAAATCCCATTTCCGATGCCAATAAAACTGTCAAAAGTCAAAAGGTCCAAAAATCTCAAAATACTTTTATGAATTAAAAGCAAAAAACGAGGTAAATAATTCTGTAACTCATTCTTTATCAGTTTTTAGGGTTCCCGAATATAAATCTAAAGTTTTTTTTTTAAAATCCAAAATGGCGAATTCAATATGGCGGACAAAATTCAAATTTGATCAGATTCGATTAAAACTTGTTACTCGGGGGTTTTTAGGGTCGCTGATTACGAATCTGAAGTCACTTTTTAAAAATTCAAAATGGCGGATCCAATATGGCGGAAAAAATTTTCAAATTTGATCCGATTCCCTTAAAACGTGTTACTCGGGGGCTTTTGGGGTCGCAGATTATGAATATGAAGTTACTTTGTAGAAATTCAAAATGGCGGATCAAATTTTTTAATTTGATCAGATTTAATTAAAAAGTGTTACTCGGTGGTTTTTAGCGTATCTGATTATGAATTTGAAGTCTCAAACACAAAGTAACTTCATATTCATAATCTGCGACCCCAAAAGCCCCCGAGTAACACGTTTTAAGGGAATCGGATCAAATTTGAAAATTTTTTCCGCCATATTGGATCCGCCATTTTGAATTTTTAAAAAGTGACTTCAGATTCGTAATCAGCGACCCTAAAAACCCCCGAGTAACAAGTTTTAATCGAATCTGATCAAATTTGAATTTTGTCCGCCATATTGAATTCGCCATTTTGGATTTTAAAAAAAAAACTTTAGATTTATATTCGGGAACCCTAAAAACTGATAAAGAATGAGTTACAGAATTATTTACCTCGTTTTTTGCTTTTAATTCATAAAAGCATTTTGAGATTTTTGGACCTTTTGACTTTTGACAGTTTTATTGGCATCGGAAATGGAATTTTGCAAAAAACGCCCATCGGCATCTTAAAGTACATGAACGTAGAAATCTTTTAAGCCCTAGAACGTTTAAATCCATCAAAGCAATTTTTGTTTAGAGCTCTGTCCGTGTTGACGTGGAATGTCCCATATACACATAAAAGAAATGAAATTTAACTTACTCATAAGTGAAAATTCACTTATTCTAAGCGTATATGCTCTTATTTTTTATGTTGAAGAATTTTAAAACATATAAATAACTTAATATTCACTGATTCAGATTTATAGAGTAGGATAATATGCACTGGTATATGTATATCATTGTACAATGTGGCCATTTTAATTCGCTGACAAAATTGAAAGCTAATTGAAGGTGCTTTCAGTTTTTCCTAGTAAGCTGAAATCCATTACACATACGTATTTTCAGATGTATATTAGAGGAAGAATATATCAGATACTATCGGGGGTCACGATTACGAACTAGGAAGTAAATAAATTGCTCTTTTCGAAAAAATTTTAAATCATAGCACCGTCATCAGCCTTACCATCAACATTTTTACACGTAATGAGTTTAAATTTTGTAGATATGTATGTGTTTATTACAAAAGTATCCTTTCCTTTCAAAAAAAGGACATAGGATAGAATTGAAATGAAAGATAATCGAACTCAAAAACGTAACTTGAGTTCGTGTGAACTCGAAAAATGAACATTGCTCTTAAGGAGCATTCAGACCTCTTTTCCCGTTGAAAAAATGGGTGAAGATTTGAATATCTACACGGAGAGAAAAAACAAGGCTTTTCCCCATGAAAAAATATGAATTTAACGCGTGAAAATTATCACAGTAAAAATGCAGGACGCTCACGGGTTTTCCCGGTGAGATTCTAGGGCTAAGGCGTGGCCTAACCGCTAAACGCATGAAATTCATCGGGAAATCCGGAGAAACTGCTACCTGAAAAGGCATGAATTGAAGTCACGGGGAAAAGCCTTGTTTTTTCTCTCCGTGTATTAAAATTCAAATCTTCCCTCATTCTCCAACGGGAAAAGAGAAGTGTGAACGATCTTCTGCCTGCGCAGGCAGGCAGTCTGCAGAGGTCTGAATGCTCCTTTATGCACGTGTGAAATGACGTGAAGCACTTGATTGGCCAAGATAGAAAGGTGGCCGCTGTTTGTTTTATTTCGGATCTTATACTTTATTTTAGGCAAATAATTGTTTTTCTTTATTATTTATTATATAAATAAAAGTATGTTAAATGTTTTTTATTTAGTATTTTTTGGCTGAGTGTACAATAGAAAAATCATGTGTTGAAGAATAAGATGTTTAGTATTTCTGGTTATTTTATTGCTGAAATGTCAGAATGAAAAGAAATAAGTTTCTCCTTAAAATTGAGGAAATTAAATTATTTATGAAATTAATAAGTTACCTTCTTTAATTAGAATAAATGCCCTCAAATGTTAAGTATCTATCCCTATAATATAAAATCATTTCGCCGCCGCTGATTCAGTCAATTCTAAGGGCCCCTTAGAAAGGGAACATAGTCAAGGTTGGCCCACTGATAAGGTAGACCAAAATTTAGGTCAATTTTGAGGTCAGTTTTGACCTAGACGTCAAAATTTGACAAAAAATATCCGCTACCCTTAAAATTTATGTCAATTTTCAGGGCAGTTGTGACCTACGCATCAAAATTTGTCGAAGAATTCCCGCTACCCTCAAAATTTAGGTTAATTGTAAGGACAGTTTTGACCTAGACGTCAACATTTGACAAACAATTTCCGCTACCCTCGAAATTTAGGTCAATTTTGAGGACAGTTTTGACCTACGCATCAAAATTTGACAATGAATTCCCGCTACCCTCAAAATTTAGGTCAATTTTGAGGGCAGTTTTAACCTAGTCGTCAAAATTTGACAAACGATGTCCACTACCCTCAAAATTTAGGTCAATTTTGAGGGCAGTTGTAACCTACGCATCGAAATTTGACAAAGAATTCCCGCTACCCTCAAAATTTAGGTCAATTGTGAGGGAAGTTGTGACCTACGCATCAAAATTTGACAAAGAATTCCCGCTACCGTCAAAATTTAGGTCAATTTTGAGGACAGTTTTGACCTAGACGTCAATATTTGTCAAACAATTTCGGCGCGCAGACTTAATGATGAGGTGAAGTTTGCCATCTGACCTAACATTGTAAGGTAATTTTAAAATTGTGTTTGCTCTTACACCTATCATTTTGACCTAATTTTGACGTTTTATTTTTACTCTCTCATTTAGTTACGTCATAATCTATGTATAATTTGACTTTTATTTACACGGAGAAAAATAGTTTGTATGTGATATAATCCAGATTATACTTTTTATGATATTTTTACATTGTATATAGGACAGTTAACTGGGATTATAAAATTGAATATCTAAGTATTACCACTTTCAAATTATTGATCATATTAATTTGGATTATAAAACTTGCATCAATATAATTATATTAGTCTTTAGGTTATTTTAAATAAATAAAATTTTGACAAATCAGAACTAACCCATAAATTTAAAATAATTTATTTAATATTTAATTGCCTAATAATAAAATTGAAAAAAATAAAAATTTTGAATTTGTTGTTGCTAATAATTTATAAATTAAATTGATTGATCAATTATTATCAATCAATCAATTTATTTTTTTAACCTATAAATTTATTTGTAAATTTCTTGTAATTTCATTTTTATAAATCTACAAAACTATTAAAACTATTAAAAAAACTATAATTGAAACTTTTATCAA